ATTAAAATAACGATCCGTAATGCGACGATGCAACTATGATACCTAACGAGATAAAGCTGCGAATCGAATACTGTGGTAATGAATCATCGGATATTACGAGTTCGCCGGCTGAGACGCGCTTCAGTCCACCTTTGCCGGTTGCACCCTTGGATATAGCTGCAAGAATCAGTTGAATAAGCCATAAAACAAATAAAATTATCGAGAATGGAACAAGGGATGCTTCGAGGTTTAAATTTTATTCGTGCGTTTCTGTTCTTTTCTTTTTTCTTTTTTTTCTTTTTCAATCAAAAATTGTTTTTGTAGGATGTTTGAATAACTTACGCCAAGTAAATTCCGAGGTACGTAGCCTTCCTTGTGTCCCTGTTTGCTCCACCACCACTCCCTCTCATTGTCGTCACCCTTTCGAAGAACAACCAAGGAATCACCGTTCTTCAGGCTAAGCTCGTCGCTGTGTTGCGCCTCGTAGTCAAACACCGCGTACACCTGACCGTTGTTCATTATCCCGAGCTTCTCTTGGACACCTGCGGCGCGGGTATAAAACTTGAAACTGCTCGATAAATTCGGCAAGATTTAAGAGAGACATTTTAACCAGCGGTTAAAATCGATATACTGACTGTACAAGTATTCCGAGCAACCGTCGAAGCCCTCCTCGTCCTCTTCGCATTTTTCCGCTGCGGTTTCATGGTCGGAGAGAGTGGTGGCGAATATACAAGCTCCATGCTCCACCAGGAATCTCACCATGGACAAATTATTGCAGCTCGCAGCACAGTGCAACGGTGTCCTGCGATAGGGCAAGATCGATTGAACAAATGCGAGACTTGAAACGAGAGTTATCATCAACCAATGCAGAGATTAAATCAACCATTCTTACCATCCGTCGCTGTCCTGAGCGTTCACGTCGCAACCAAATTCTACGAGAAACTTGACGATCTCCAGGTGACCGGCGCAAATGGCGTTGTGAAGCGCGGTGATCCCTTCGTCGTTGGCCGAGCTAGGATTCGCCACCTCTTTAGCAGTCTTCTTTACCAGTTCCAATTCACCTTCGAGGCTGGCGTCCAATAGAAGTGCCAGAGGGTCAAACGAGACCCTTCTCGAGAGGTTCACCTTGCCGGTGCTCGACTTGAGATTCCCTTTCTTCCTCCTCATCACCTCGTTGCTCTTCCCATCAACCTCCAGCTCGTTCCTTCTTTCGGAGTCCTTTGCCTTCGCCTTGTCCTCGATGTTGATGACGTTCAACGCGTCGATGATGTCCGCTTCTTCCAATTTCTCGTTGCTAATCACATCCTCGTTGATGATCTTTTTACAATTGTCCGTCGTGTCGATGATCTGTGGCTGCTGCTGCGATTGTTGCTGCTGCTGCTGCTGCTGTTGTTGTTGCTGTTGCTGTTGCTGCTGTTCCGTTTGCATCAAGTCCGCTGGAATCTCGGTCTCCGGGAACAGAAACGCCGGTGGCATCTCAATCCGCCGGTTTATCGACACGTGAACATTCGACTTGGCGTAACGGAGTTTCGGCTGTTCGGAGACCGGCACCTTCTTCAGAGTCAGAGGCCTAGCTTTGATGATCTGATGGTTGGCAAATTGCGTCTCTGTCGGGGACTCGGGCGGCTCGGACGTAGGAATCGGCGGTACGTCCTCCTCTTTCTCCGTTCTGCGAACGATTCAGTGAAAACGTCGGTTAGGATGAAACTCGAAGAGGATTGTTCAAGGATTGTTCGAGAAGATGCATTAATTGAGATAGTACGATCGATACCTGGGTAGGTAATCCTTGGACTGAAAGAAGTTTCGGTACAATTAGACGCTTTAATACGTATACAACTTTGATAATAGAAGTATATATACCAGGCGGGCTTATCAAAGTTTGGTATATTTTTTTTTTCTTTTTGCCTTTTCTTTAGAAAGACTTTTAAAATCAATTCCAATTATTTCAAAGTTTCTCAAATCACTGAGAAGTTCGATAAAATTTAAGTATTCCAAGAAAGAACGGGAAGAAGCGCGCGGTTCGACGACGAGATTTGGAGGGAACTTTCAGATCAGGAAAACAGGAAACTTGGATCCCGCCTCGATCGATCGAAGAGCTCGCGTACACTAAACTGTTGTCTCAGCTGCACGGTAGTGGTTCTATTTTGGTGTCTATTATTCGAGACAGGCTTCGATTCACCGGCCAAATCGATCGCGGACTAATTAACATTTATAATTAACCCGGTAATCGTTTTTACGAGCCGTTCCCAAAATCCCTGCTCTATCTGCCCGTTTCCCTTTGGGCGATTGCCTCTTGACATCGATACCGAAATTGGAATAAAAATCTCAATCTAAATTCAAAAATGCAAAATTTTAGATTTTCGAGTGAACGTGAAGCTTCTCGATGTTGAAATTGAAGTTAAAAAAAAAAAAAAAAAAATTGAAATTACAAAAGAAAATAAACGACAGTGAAATAACGTACGAACCTCGCATTGATTCCCAAATTGTTCTTGCAGTCGCCGATGGAACCGTCGTTCGAATTATCAATCTTTTCGTGATGTGTCAACCGTGGCGGAGGATTCGGTTTGCTCGGTTTCGGAGGTAGCGCCGGTTTCGTCTTGTCCTCGCCCATGCTCTTCCTCTCGTTCTCGTTCTTCAACCTGTCGAACTCGAACGTCGTTTTCTCCGCGGTCTTCGCGGGCATTTCAAACTTCCCGTTGTGATCGTGTTTCGCCATGGAGCCCTGTTCGAATTTGATCTGATTGTTCTCGAATTTGACCGGCTCCTGCTTGAACTGTTGCCCGCCGATCTCGTATTTGTTCGACGACTCGTGTTTGAAGCCTGCATTGTGCTCGTACTTGACCACCGACGGTCTCACCTCGTGTTGATCGTGCTTGCCGTATTGCTGGGTATTCTGATTAGGATCGTACTTCGTTCCGTGAATTTGCTCGTGTTTATTCTGGACAGGTTCGTACTTTCCCTGCTCGATCTTCGACACGTTGTCGTACTTGCTCGTCTGATTGCCGGTCTGCTCGTGCTTGTTCGACTGCTCGTACAGTTGTTTCGTCGACTGATGCTGATCGTATTTCGAATGCTGGTCGTATTTTATCTGATGAGAATCGTACTTGAACACCTGATTCGGTTCGTACCTCTGCTGTTCGTGTTTAACCGGCAGCATGTGTTCGAACTTCTCTTGGCCTTTACCTTGCTCGAACTTCATTTTGTCGTTCTGCTCGTTGCTGGATGTAGGGCTGGTCAATGGCTGAGTCTGATTGTACCTCTGAATCGAATTCCCGAAACTGGTCCCACTGGACGACGTGTGAATAGTCGACGGAGGATTGGGAGAGTTTTGCGTCTGATAGACCGACGACGAAGACACGTGAGTGTTTGCTTGAGTGGAGTGCTGGTTCACGGGGTAGTTGTGCCTCGACGTGTAAGTCTGATCCTGATTGGATCCTGTTTGGCTGCTGGCGATAGATTGATTCGACTGTTGTTGACTGTTGGCATTCTGAGTGCTCAAGCCGACAAAATTTTGCGCGTTGTTGTGTCCACGGCCAATCAGGCTCAACGTTTGCGGCATCACAGGGTGAATTTTCGTGGAGGAAGTCTGGTAAATCTGAGACTTGACGGAGAAACTCGGCGCAACGCTGGACACTGGTTTCTGATGCGTTTGAAAATTCCTGTGATTCTGAGTTTGAGTGACAGATACCGTCGTGCCGAGGTTCGACGCCGACGAACCAATATTGTGTTGCTTCTGCTGAATATTCCCGTGCTGTTGTTGCTGTTGTTGTTGCTGCTGTGTCTGCGACTGTTGTTGCTGCTGATGAATTCGAAGATTCTGCGACAGACCATCCGGACTGAAATTGTGAGACGTGCCGATCAAATTGTTGTTCATGCTGTTGCTATTGTTGTTGTTGTTGTTGTTGTTGTTGTTGTTGTTGTTGTTGCAGATTTGTTGCATGTTCACCGGTTGGTTAGACAAGTTCTGGTTGTGCTGTTGTTGATTCGTGCCTAGCAATTGCGACTGACCTGAGAGAATACCAATTGGATCGCAATATTAATCTAATTCTGTGCAAGTGAAACTGTTCCCTGCTCTGAATGAAAAATTTGCTCCAATTACTAACCTTGGATATGCGACTGGGACTGGCTGTGAGCGATTTGATGACCAAACTGTTGAAAAGCCGCTCTCTGACCCAGCTGTGACGCGCTGGCCGAATGTTGAATCTTATTCTTGTTGACGTCGTCCTCCGCCGCTTTGAAGTTCACCGTGAATTTCGTGTTGTAAGGCAGTGTCTGGTATTTGGGGTCGTTCTTGTTCAAATTAAAATCGTTGTCGTTCGGTATGTGGGAGTACGGTTCGATGGCGGCGATGTTCCCAGCGGGTCTGGACTTCCCTCCGGCGTTGAAGTCCAGCTTCGACTCCGTGAAACCGGTGTTCGCGTTCGTTCGGTTCCCAGAGCCAAGCTGCTGGCTCAGCCGTTGATTCAGGGCTCTCTTACGCTGAAGACGACCCTGAAGCTGAGCTATCTTCGCATCTATCGACGACATTTCCGCTTGTCGTTGCGCCAGGGCTAACCGTTGTTGTGACACCATCTGATTCTGCTGCTCGTTCATCTTATTACGGTACTGTTGATGGGAAAAGAGAGACTCGTGTCAATTTCTTAGGATAAAGATCAGCAACTGTTTCAAGATTTAAAAAAAAGAAAAGGAAAAGAAAGGGCAAGTGGTTCGATTTCTATCCAATTTTCTCAGATTTTTCTAAAAATTCCAAGCTCCTAAACATGTTCATGTAAGAAATTACGAAAATTCTAGATCGGCATTCGCGGAACGCAGAACCGATCGACCGACCCTCGGTTGCAATTTATTGCAGATGGAAGTCACCAGGATCGGGAGAGAAGCGAGAGAGAGAGAGAGAGAGAGAGAGAGGATGAAAAGGGCTTACCATAAGCTCCCTCCTGAGTTTTTCCAGCTCGGCGCTGGCCGGCGTCGACAAATGTCCACCGCCGCCGCCGCCAACGCCTCCGCCACCGACGCCTCCGGCTCCGCCACCTCCGCTTCCGGTCCCGGCCCCGTTCTGCCGACCTCGCAGCTCTTCCAGCTGCCGCGTCAACTCCTCGACCTTCGCCACCGCCAAAGACAGCTCCTTCTCTTTCTCGTTGAACAGTGCCCTGATGCAGTCCAGGTCCGAGGCTGTGAACAAGAAACAAAATGAAGAAAAACGTTAGAAAGGAAACGAACCACAGCCTTTTTGTTCGCCATTTTTTACAATCTCTGTTTGAGATGAAAAGCCATTTTCTATACCTCAAATCAATTTTGATGAAATGAGAATTAATAAAGAAATTACTGAAAAAACATTTAATCTCCTGCCGGAGGATCCTTATAAAGATTCTTCTTACGAGGGTGTTGAACGATAAAGAAGTTAAGTCGTAATCTTACGAGAGAAAGGCAAGGGACGTGGAAATCGTTGGTTTGAAAGGACCGTAGGTGTAACTTATAACGCGCAGTGACAGCGTTGCAAGAGGCTAATAGAATTCCTCGGTATGACCTTCCGTTTTTAAGAGATACGTTCTTTAATTTCTCTTCGCCGTTCTTTCGATTCAAATCGAGCTCGAAAATCGAACCGAAAAGAATCCTACCGGGTTTCCCGTGAATCTTCTAAATGTCTTTCGGAACTCAATAACATAAGCTTGCTCCTCGAGTTCTTCGTCATCGCCATCGGATAGTAATTCGCGCGAGGCAAGGCGACGTTGACTGGCTTGGAAAGTTGGAAGAAAAGCCAATTAAAGGGATGATTTACGAGACACGATCGAGGATTCGCTCGGACAATTAATCGAATTATCTCGCCGTTCTCGGAACGAGAACGAACCGAATCGGGAAAACGAGGACTTCGCAGCGATCGTCATTTTTCGCGGTCAACGAGCAAAACGCGTCTTGTTGTTTCTTTTTTTCATCCACGAATAAGAATTCCTCCTGCTGGCTGAGTACCACCATTGGCTTTCCAATCTCGGGAGAGCATGATCATTTGTTATTTCTCAGTTCAAATCGGTTTCTCGTTTTCGACGATTTCCACTTTAAAGAGCGCGCGCGATGGACCGAATGGACGAAGAGAATCGTCGTTCCACGGAGATTAAACCCGCGAAGAAAGGGACGGCGAACGAATCAAAGGGGTCAAAGAAGCGAGAATATAATTAAAAAGTAAGTTTCATCCTCGCGAACTATCGCTTTGCCGGGTCAAACGATCGGTTTCATCACTTGCTCTGTCTTTGCAGGGATATATTGAATCAGGGTGCTTTTCAGCTCATGCTCCAACTCGTGCATTTTTAAAGGGAATTATCTGCGCGTGTTTCGGCAAGTGTGTGCGTTCACCGTTTGTACCTGGATTATTAAACGAGTACGAGTACGTGTCAACGCCAGAGGTACAGATACATCAACAACGTATTCAAACTCTTTTTACGATGAACTTTTGATTATATTACGCTCATAATTTTCATATATATTATTTTTACAATGATCCTTGAATCTTGCAACATGATGTAATACTAATTGCGTAGCAATACGTCACCGCTCACACTGATTGTGAGAGAGAAAGAGTGCTTGCTCTTCCACGTACTCAACCCGATTTCAAAAATCTATTTACTCCGCAGTTTAATCACTAACAAGTTAACCATGAAACGAAGCAATTTAAAACTCCCCCCTCGAATTGTTTCCTCGATCAAATCTGCCGAAAGTCCAGAAATTACTTTCCTCGCGAAATCGATCAGATCGAAGCAACCCCTCCGGGATTTCCCGAACGATCGTTCTTTCGAGAACTTCGCGGCAGCGTGTGGTGGTTTGTCTCGCTTCGTTGAAATACGCGTCGCGAACCAGTCATTCACTATCTCGTTTCGATGATCCCAGCGTGGATGAAATGATTCTCGAAAGAATTCTCGATGAACGACGAATTGTTCCGCGGTAGGAGTTCATCGAAGAAGAAATGCACATTCGCGTGGAGTACGATCCGTGATTCGGCTGATTCTCCATTCGTTTGTTCATCTTCGGTGCCGTATTTCCTCTTTGCAGGGAGGACGATGACGTTTATTGCGAGTCTCTTTGTTGAGCATGACAGCAGTTTTAAATCTTCCCCGACGTAGCTCTGCTTAATTAGAAAGCCTCCGGAGAATTCATATACAGAGGAGGACGAACGTCGAGGGTAAAGTATTAAACGTTGTTCGAGGAAAAAGAAGAAGTTTCTTCCTCGGGACTCGTGTCGTATTTTAAAGAAATTAACTCGGAACTTTGAATAATTTTTCAAGATTCCTTTTACACAAGGGTTCCGAACGATCCGCGGAACTGAAAAACAGGATTCCCAATATCATTCTCCATTTTTTCGTCAAAATCTTTGCGAATCACCCCCTCTATCGTTAAATTCTACAGTAAAAACTCGAGATTTTCGTTGCGTGTTGCGACGAATGATCGCGATGATCTCCAGAGTCGAAAGTAAATCAAATTAAACGAATTAACATTTAAGAGTGAAATACACACCGATTACATTCTCCGGCGCGAGAAATAAAATATTCGTTCGCTTTCTAATTTTACATTTCTTCGTGATTCCCTTTGCAAAGGCCTCCCCTTGCCATCAAGATCTCACGGTTACGACGAATAATTGACGATCTACAAACTGGAAAAGCGAGGAACGTTTAGAAAGTAAATTCCCGGGTTAATGTTTTAAGAGTACGTTCACACACCACACAGATTCTTTCCGAAGCGACTGAAATATTCGAAATTTTTGCTTAACCTTAGGGGGTTTTCCACGGAATCCTCGTACTCTGAGATTTTACGATCTCAACGAATAACCGATTAATGTTTAAGGGCACGCGGCATAGAGAATTCCGTTTGAGAATTCTTTTTTTTCTCTCAACTTTATTCCCCGTCGAGGATCTTTCGGCAGAGAGTCTTCATAAACCTCTCGCCGCGCTAAAGCAACGTTCTCGCGTTTAATTTCAAGGAGACCCGGATTCGCAAAAACCGGAGAACTGGTTCGTAAGCCTTTGACCGCTTCTCTGTCATTTCCCGCGGGTGGAAAGCGCGCGCGCG